CTGAAGTGTCTCATGGAGTGCTTCTCAACCAATTTAGGGGGGGCTTTGGGTCTGGCTGATGATCTCACCCCAAAAATGAAGGAGTGATCACTAAGGTTATTACCTAGAACACCAGTCAGTGCGAAATTGTGAGGGGCATTTGTCAATAGGACGTCAAGCAGAGATGACTGTCCCGGATTTTTTAGGTTGGGTCTTGTGGGGACATTTATTAATTGAAACAGGTTAAATTCATCTGCAAAATTTGTGGCCACGGCCGGCGGGTTTAGCCAATTCCAATTTAGATCACCCACTAAAACTATTTCACCTTTAGGGAGGCCCCCAAGAAGCTCTCTCAGTGCAGATGCAGCTTCAACATCCTTCCCACTAGGCGGTCTATAGCAGCACACTACCAATATGTGTTGATTATTAGGGAGAGTTATTCTGAGAGCCAGACCTTCAAAGCAACATTTTTTAAACAAGGAGTGAGCTGGTGAACATGCAATAGTATTACGAACATAGATGGCAATTCCACCTCCTTTAGATCCTCGGTCAAGCCGAAAAAGATTGTAGTTGTCAATCGTAATCTGCAAGTCATTGACGGCAGGAGTGAGAAATGTTTCTGTTAGGCAAAATATGTCCGGGTCAAGATTTGCTACTTCTAGTTTTAGTTGACTTAATTTAATCAAAAGCCCTCTGATGTTGACATGTAGAACACCAACACCTTTTCTGCCAGAAAAATCTACAGAATTATATGAGTTCTTTACATTTGGTCCAGGATGAAGCTCAATACCACCCAGAAATAAGAAAAGTAGAATTAATAGTTTGCACAGGTATTTTCTGTGAAAGGATGAAGAGCGACGAACCTTGGACGAATAGCAGCAGCTCGCAGATGGTGTTATTTTTAAGAGCAGAATGAAGTTTGGAAGGAGTGCTGGTGAAGTAATGGGACAAAGATAGGGTTTAAAAGGATATAATGATGGAGTGTAGAAGTGTCTATAAGTTGTTTCATTAGCAGGTGTAGTTGCAAATTTAGCAATAAGTATTGACGCGAAGTAACGCGGGTAGCCATTTGTAGAGTTGAGTGTGGCACTAGATATGGCCGGGAAGGACAGTAGTAAGATACACAGCAGGTGAATTGACATCTTTAAAACACTAAATTTAAACACACACACAGCTCACTCACACGCAGCTCACCCTCACCCACTCTCACGCACAGCCCACACCCATGCAGCACAACGCACACGTGGCCGCACACGCCGCCGCCATCTTGCTGCTGTTGTTGTTGCAGCTGCTGTTGTTGTTGCAGCTGCTGTTGTTGCTGCAGCTGCTGCTGCTGTTGTTGTTGCAGCTGCTGCTGTTGCTGCTGCAGCTGCTGCTGTTGTTGCTGCAGCTGCTGTTGTTGCTGCAGCTGCTGCTGTTGTTGCTGCAGCTGCTGCTGTTGTTGCTGCAGCTGCTGCTTGTTGCTGCAGCTGCTGCTGTTGCTGCAGCTGCTGCTGTTGTTGCTGCAGCTGCTGCTGTTGCTGCAGCTGCTGCTGTTGCTGCTGCAGCTGCTGCTGCTGTTGCTGCTGCAGCTGCTGCTGTTGTTGCTGCAGCTGCTGTTGTTGCTGTAGCTGCTGCTGTTGTTGTAGCTGCTGTTGTTGTTGTTGTAGCTGCTGTTGTTGTTGTTGTAGCTGCTGTTGTTGTTGTTGTAGCTGCTGTTGTTGTTGTTGTAGCTGCTGTTGTTGTTGTTGTAGCTGCTGTTGTTGTTGTTGTAGCTGCTGTAGCAGCTGCAGCCGACCCAACTGCAGTTGCAGGAGTCATACACGAAGCAGCCGCAGCTGTGTGTACTACAGCAGAGCAGCAGCGGCCGTGCGGCCTGGAGGCGCCGAGGCTGAATAGTTGCGTGATGTGGACGTGGAGAGACGAGATGTTTGGCCCATCAGCTTCATTGTTCTGCTTCCATTTACGAGCGCCCTCCACGTAGGCCTCGACGTAGGCCCCCACGTGGGCCTCCACGTGGGCCCCGACGTAGGCCTCG